TCCGCTCTAGAGGCCCCAAGCAGACCACAGAGGACTCTGACAGGGGCTGCCTATTTGAGATGCACAATATCTGAGGCTTTTCCTCAGATATATATACCTGGCTTTTCCAACTATGTCATTCTCTGAAAGCTCATGTGTAGCGAAATAGTGCCTCATACTACATTAATTTAGTCCAGTTCTGGGCACCCAGTTGGTTTCAAATAGCCCTTTACCAATTGACTGACTAATCAATGAACAAAATGAAAAATCCAGACAGCAGGCCTCAGCTTTGTCTATCAGGAATTACTTTCCTAAAAAGCATTTTTCCTTCCTTTACAGATCAATTTCAGAGTCAAAATTCAAACACTGCAGATTTCACAAATAGGAGTAGCTGGCAGGTATTAGGTTTTGAAAATAATGGACATATGTATCAAAACGAAAGCTGTATATATCTGAAAAGTATATCCGTGCAACCGATCCAAACAGAGACGGCCAGAACCCAGGACAAGTAGAGTGTAAAGTGGCCTTGACAGAGCTCAGTGCTGGGGCGTGGGCTCCAGATTTGCCTTTGCCGATCACACAGGGACTGCACACTTGGGTTGGTGAAGCCTCGTTGTTTGCTAACCCTTCCAACCCTTCCAGAGTGTGTAAATGAAGGCAACGCAGTTTGTTGCAAGAGAAGACAGGTTGTGTGTTTACACACCTCTGCAGCTGATACTGCTGGAAGGAACAGAAATAATGACAATGTGCTTATTTTATTGGAGGTTATAATCCAGTTTCTTTGCAGAAGCACAATACTGAAAATATCGCTAGTTTATGTCATTCAATTACATTTGTAAGCATCTTACAGGCTTGATTCAGCCCCTTTAGGATTAAGATCAAACTAGCAAATGTTCAAATCGTTTATAGCACACAGCACTAGGAAAGTAATTCTTATAATAGGAAATATACAGTTGGAACATAGCATTATTTTTCTAGAATAATATGTAACTTAGGACTTACGTGCTGGACACTTGTTCTAAGTGCTTTTCACATACTAAGATATTCGAGCTTTAGAAGGCACTTTTGTTGGTGGTATTATTGCTACTATCATTGTAAATCCTTTTTTTAAATGTATTTCATACAGGGTCTACAGGGTCTCACTACACAGGTCATACTCACTGTGATTCTCCTGTTTCCAGCCTCCCTAGTGCTAGGATTACAGGCGTGTGCCACCAAGCCCAATCTCAATCTCCAATTCAGTGCGCCTTAGGGGCAGGGCCTGAAAGGCACACCAGGGCTCAAATCCCATTCCCTGCATCTGCCTAACCAGGCACTTTTATCCACTGGGCTATCTGGCTGGCCTGTAATTCTCATTCTTCATGTAAGAAAACTGAGGTGCAGCAAGTTTAAATAAGTTTCCACACAGCAAGTGGAGGGTTCAGAGGAATAAACTAACATGCATTAGTTCCTATATCAAAGAAGTAGCAAATCCAGCATTGGAGCCAAGACAGTCTGGCTCAAGCACCAACGCCTTTAACCACTCTGCAGTCTCTATGCAATTTGTAGTCTTTAATTGAGAGGTATGTGCAGCGGTCAAGGGGATAGACATATGTTTCACATTCACATAAGCCTGGTTTAGATCTTAGTTCTGCTATTTGCTTACAAGCTGTGCGGCCTTAGACAAATTATTGAGCATCTCTGAGCATGTTTTTGTCCAACTTTATAATGGAGAAGATGTTGCCTGGCTTCTGAATTCGATGTATATACAATAATTGGTATAATTCATTCAGCACAGTACATAGCATACAGTATTCTGTAATACACATTATTGCCTTAAAATAGCCTTAAATTTAATACTTTCTAGTACCTGAATAATTTCCTTCTGGTTCACAAGTAAATTACTAAATAAGTTTCAAAAAAAGTAAAAGCATTTGGCCATAATTCTTTAGGAAAAGACATCCTTGCAGCTACATGGATTTCAATAAATACAGTGTTTATTTGACAGTATTCTTATTAGGATTGCTACAAAATTCTGATATTTAATCTGCCAGTTGAAGGGGTTAAGTCCAAGTTACAAGCTAACTTTAGTTTATTCTATATTATTGACAAAATCATTTCATAATAGCTAAGTAAAAAAATGTAACTCATCAGGTACAGTTGTGCAGTCAGTAAAATGCACAAAATCGTCGAGTAATATACACAGCTTTATTGGCTTGAAAGTTATGCATGTCTGTCAAAGTCAGCTATAAAAATTGATCTCATCCCCTTTCCATCAAGAAGTCGATAGCAATCCTGGAATTTGTTTGTTTGTTTTTCTCCCTGTTCCCCTTGGCACAAGCTCACATCTAGGGAAGACCACATTTCCAAAAATGAACTGCAGAGAGTTAATAATCTATCAAGTGTAACTACTTAAAGGAAAATAATGCACAAGTGGAAATAACACCTGGCTTTCTGTAGCAAATATTATCAACATTGGACCAAGAACTATCCTTAACACTGATGATTAAAGAACAAGGCTCTCTGTTCATGGCCCATACTTCTGTAGCCCAATGCCACACTATTCAATGGTTCTTCCACAGTGGACGCTTCTACACCATAAGGAACATCATGCCTGGTCTCTGAAATCTGAAGTACTTTCATATACCACATACCCAACAATACACCTAATTTTCTCTGGGCTCTAAGAGCTCTAGTTGAAATGGACCAACCATACTTATGCCTGTGCCAGAGCAAGCTACAGGGTCTTTTATGAGAAGACATAGTGAGAACAATTCCTTTGTTGCTTGGCATGATGTAAGTCAATATCTAGATTTGAATCTTTGATCCTTACTACCAAAAGGGCACTCTGGATTGGTGCTTTTAAGAAATCTTCTAATTAGCATGTAAATAACCCAACTACACTGCATTGTATTTTTGTGTTAAAATATTTTTAAATGCATGCATTTAAATACAGAGGAATGTGATATTCCTATTTTAGCATACCTTCATTTATTAATAAATGGGCATCTTTAAACAATAGAGACTTAAGCCCTTTTTAGCCCTAAAAGGTTCAGCTGTAACAGCAATAAGTTCATCAATATCTAATGTGATATTAAAGATAGTGCTACTGTGATAGAAAATACATATTAAATAGAAATGGTAATACTAGAACTCACCTTTCTGGATTTTGAACGGAGCATTATGTAAAGTACGTTTTGAAGCATTGCTTCATTGAGTCCCCATAACAATCATACAAGATAGGTAGCATTATTCATTTCATTTCACACATGAGAAAACAGAAGCTTGGGGAAGTTAAATAACTTGCCCAAGTAAGTGTCCAGGCCAGTATTTGAACCCTAGTGGATGCATCCCAAAGCTCAGACTCCTCCCTGGACTCCAGGGCTCAGTCTCCTTTCACTGGTCCGCTGCATCTTGCATTCTATTTACCATGTCAAACTAATTTTATGCCTTTAAGCACATGTTCCCCAAGTCTTTTGTCTTCCTCAGAGCTATCCTTTGAGCATCTGTAAACATAAGTAGCGTTTTACTTCCCCTTCGGGCCTTCCTGTCTTTACCCAGGAGTGAAGCTTTTTCCTTCCCTGGCCCAGCACAGTGCCTCGGCTCTGCTTCATGCTAAAGGCAACCAGAGCTTCACTTTTGCTTCCTCTGCTCTCCTTTGCTAGCCTTTCTGAAGTGTCTCCCCCTCTGACTCCAGCTGCTTCTGCTGGTGCCTCCAGAATGGCCCACTCACTGGCTTGCACTCCTCAGTGCTGCTGGGCCTGGGGGGGGGGGTGCAAACTGCAGGCACCCTCACCCCACTTAATCCTGACTACTGTGGTCAGGGGGGGCCTCTTTTGAATGCAGACAACCAGTCAGCCAAGTCGAAATTTATACCAGAAATATATTACCTAATTTTTAAACAAAATGACATGAAATCAGACTTGAAGATATCAAAAACATGTCTAGTTTCTGATTTAAGCAAGAAAATCCACATTGTTACTGCTTCCACCACAGAATAATTTACTGCAACAGGAGTTCTGGATCTTATGCCAAAAATAAGGTCTTCTAACCAATGTCAAGGCCAATTATCTTGTGGTAAATCCCACAACAAAAGCAGACTACTGTGATTAGAGTCAGAAACACCACCCAGAGAAGCTGGGAAGCTTCTGGGGATTTCTCAAAGTCAGTTTTTCCTCCTTGTGTGTCTATCTAAATAAACTACCAGAAACTCTGTGTGTGGGCATTGAGTATCTTAGATTAGCAAGGGGGACGAAGGAAGAGGCAGTCAGTCGGGTGTGAGTTGTACAGCTGTGTCCTAAGGAGCAGGACCATGTCCTCGAGGATGTGACTTCTGACAACTCCACAGCTGAGCCCTTCTGGCAGCCCCTCCCTTCTCTAATCTCGCCCCCAAACACAGTGCCAGTAGCCACCCTGCGACCCATCCCCAGGACTGGAAAGCCCCGTTGGCTTTGTTCAGGAACACATACCCCACAGTAAAGAACTGCCTCATTTCTTGTCGCCGAGACCTCATCAGTTGCTTATACTCCCCGATCCGGAGCTTCTTGCCATCAACAATGCAGGTGCGTTTTGGCCGGGGTTTGTATTTGTAGTTTGGGTACTTCTCTAAATGGATCTTGCTTAGCCGGGCCTGCTCTTCGTAATAAGGTTGCTTCTCCTGATTCGACATGGATTTCCAGCGAGATCCTAGACATAAAGATAGGGTTAAGTAAGTGGTTAAGACAACAGATTCTGTACAACTAGATACAACCAGGAGTTACTAGATATACATCCCCAGTACTTCATTCACCGTGAGTCTGGGCATCTTCTCTTGCCACATACCACCCGACTTACCAACCAGTCTTTCAGACAGCAGAGAATAAGTAACTCTGTATATGATGCAGTTATTGCATTATTTATCTCAGTAATGTAAGGCTGATGGCCCTATGTTTCTTTAAAACCTATCTTTGTCACATGAAGACCATTTTCCACACTAAGGTATGTCCCTGTTCATCTGCTTCTCCCTTTCAAAAGCTAAAAGCCTGAACTTCTTAAGCATCCTTGTGAGAATGACAGGATTCTCAGGACAAAGCAGTTAGCTTCAGAAATCCCATCATTTTCCATCCTCCTAGTATCTTTAACCAAAGCTGGCCTTTGATAAGATATCAATCGATGTTGATAACCTACCATACATCAAAATCTACTGTACACACTGTCTCCCCTGACCTAGGGTAATTAACAACAACAACAACAACAACAAAAAAAAAACTAAACTCTACTTAAGAAGTCATAACTTTAGAACCAGAAGATACAGTTGGAAATATATATATATATATATGAGAAGACATAGTGAGAACAATTCCTTTGTTGCTTGGCATGATGTAAGTCAATATCTAGATTTGAATCTTTGATCCTTACTACCAAAAGGGC